TAGGAGTTGCTGCATGGTCTGTATTGTTGCTGCGAGGAGGAGAAAGAATAAGAGGTTCAGTTGGTGGCGCTGCTGGTGGTGGTGCTGCTGCTCCTGCTGCTGCTGCTGCAGGAGGCAGAGGCAGCGGCGAAGGCCTACCTGGCCCAGCAAGGATGAGGGGGGGCCCCCTTGGGGGGGCCCCCACGAAGGGCCCCATAGGAAAGAAAGGAGAAGGGTACCCTATAACAGGAGGAGGAGCAGCAGGGGGGGGCCCCCCTGGCGGCATCAGTACCCTCGGCCTGGGTACTGCTGCAGCAGGTGGGGCAATGAGGGGCCCCCCAGGGAGAAGAGGTGGTGGGGGAGCAGCAGCAGCAGCAGCACCAGCAGCAGCAGCAGCAGCAGTAGGTGGAGGAGGCGGAGCAGCAGGAGGAGGAGCGGGCCCAGGAGGAGGTGCAGCAGGAGGTGGTGCTGCAGGTGGTGGTGCCCCTGGTGGTCCTGCTGCTGCTGCTGCTGCAGCAGCAGCAGCAGCAGCAGCAGCTGGATTTCTATGGTCCTCGTGGTGGCAGAAGGTACAAGATAGACTGTCTTTTGTGCATGCACCAACAAGAAATAGAGAACAAGGTCTACATACACCCCGTGCATGCAAAACAAAAGAAAAATATCTTTGTTTATTTGTTTTGTCTGCATGTGTGGGGTGATGGCAGTAAGAGCAGCTGTCTCCTAAACACCCAGCCTCTCCGCTATGTGTGGGGGCACAAGGGAGACAGAGATGCTGCTGATGCAGCAGCAACAAATAATATTTATTGCTGCTTTTGTCTTTATGTATATTATGATGACAATATATACAAAACTCTCGATTGGGGCAACCTAAAGAAGAAGAAAAATAATATAAACAAGGTGTACATACACCTGAATTATGCTTCTCTAGTACCTGCTGCTGGATACTCTCCGCTTCTTTCTTCATTGCTTCTTGCTGTATACACACACACATACACACACTCATTATATATTAATATATATTTTGTTTTTTTATTTTTTATTTTATTTTATTTTATTTTATTTTATTTTTTTTTTTTTTTTTTTTTTTTTTTTTTTTT